CCATGTTTACTAAGTACCTGAGTAGTAACGTGGAGGGTTAGGCATTTTTCCCTAGTGTGAAGCTGTGATGCTGCTAGGGTCTACACCCAGTCTGAGGATCCAAAAAGTTATGCTGGGTCTGCTAACAGATGCACAACCTTAGACGGAGTTGATGATGGATAAAATCAGATATGAAGTATCCTTTCCCTCCTCCTTCCCCAGAATTATTAGAGGTCTTGGTTTTCCCATCACTGAGGATCTGTAACTAGTCACTCAAACTTTGCTGTTTATAGGCAGATGCGTTATAGAAGCATCTTGTATTGCTGTCCCAACAACCTAAACTGATATATTGATCTGATTGGGGGATGTGAGATAAAAAAAGCAGGAAGAAAATATAGGAGATCTTTCCTAATGTAAAATACTTGGCTTTGACTAAAGAAAGTTCACAAAAGGGTCACTGTCTGTATGAAGGTAAACCTTTTAGTCCATGTATTTTACCACCTCTCTAACCACTAGTAATACACATAAAAGTACGTAAAGTGTCAATTTCTGTCTATTAGAACCAAAGAAAAATGTATGAGATATTTGGCTTGGGAAATCAGTTTTCAGTCTGCTGTAACCTACTATTTGTTATAAGTGGAGTTTGGCATCGCACACTCCTGTTATAAGTCCACAATATATCTGTGTGCTATGGTCTAGCAAAATAAAAATAGCTGCAAAGGGGTGGAAAGAACTAATTGCCAGTAAAGTATACATATATTTTTTTTGAAGAGTGAGAATCATTATTTGCAATGAATTTTGAAACCATCAAAGCTTTAATTTCTCTGTTGGCATCTACACTTGTGCACAACTAACTTTGCTGCTGAGAAGATATTTTATGGTCTGTAGTCACTTGTAGAAGGGGACACACTGATTTTCTAGTGGTAAAAGAACTGGTGATATATTACAAAAAACATTCTTTATGAAAACTTAGAACTTGTTGGTCGTACTCATATTAACAATGCAAGAATTCATCACAGTGTAACAACTTTCAGGCAGGTAGTCAGTCCTCGTTGTTGCTGTTGTGTTACCTGGAAGCATCACAATGAGCATGGTTTATGCACTGCAAGTGGGGACACAAGCCCTGCTACCAACTTTTAAACCATATTTTTTCTTTTAATATCATATCAAAATGCTAAAGTGCAGGGGATATTTATATAGTCACTATCTTTCTTTAGCATTAACAAGAACATTAAGAATTCGCTTTTCCTTCTGCGCAGATTCATGCACAGGCATGTGAAATGAAATGTGATCTGTCTTTCAGCTGAAAGAGCAGTGTTGATGTATTTCCTGCTTAGATCCATCTTTCAGAGGCTGATAATACATACTTTCTATATATTGGAAAAACCCCCACTGTCTTTATTGAGCAGAGACTAAAACATCAAATGGAAAGAAAAGGATTTGAATCCAGATTTACAAGGGGAGATTGCCATTGAATAAAACTTGTGAAGCCTCTGGAATGAGTTATTTTTGTTGGAGGCTAGCCATCCTTCTAGGTACCTGATGATACCACGACAATGAGTATGATTAGAAGTATGATTAGAACTATCTATCAACATGTTTTATAGACGAAAATCTCTGTGTGCATTTGACTCATAGAGCCTAACTTCAAAGCCCAGCATTACAGTTACATTCGGACATCTACAAATTGGATGTCTGAGCTAATCATCCAGATTCTCTTCATACTCAGTGGGGAGAAATGGGCAATTCTGAGGGTAATTCAGATTCTTGTCATCTCCAAATGAGTATCTTATGCAAGGTCTGAATGTGCCTAATTCTCTCCATCAATAAATAAAGGAATGAGGTGATAGGTCAGACTTTGATAGCAACATTAGAAACATGAAAAGCTAGGGCAAATAAATCCCACTTCATCTTAGTCTGGTTTGATATGGCACAGATGTGGAACCTTTAGCCTTCACATCCTGCTTTTTTTTACCCTAATAACCAAGATCAGGGATCACGTAATATCTCAATGTACAACAGCTGAAGACCCGTGACTATGCCATTTCTTCAACTTACTGTGTTCAGAGATGTCTAGTAATCAGGAGTGGATTCTGCCCACACATTTTGTATTCCCCATCTCTGCAACAGGGATACACAATGCTGCTCATACCCCCAAAATATTACTGGAAGATGAAGTGGGTCTTCACACTCATCAGGTAAAGGAAGTTCAACCAGTACTAACAAGTACATTTAGATGTTCAAGCAGTCACTGTGTTCAATGAGACAGGTAACACATCACCATTCAGGCAAGGCAGACACTGCACGGTCGTCAAGACTGTACATTTTTTTTTGGCAACTAATTAAGGTAGAGAGCTGCCTCTCCTGTTATTCTTGGAAGGTGGTCTCTCCTCGTTCATACTGAACAGGGTCCGAACAGCAGGCAGACCCATTCCACCTGAAGGCAGAGGCAACTACTATACTAAAGCTCTTTCTTAGTAAGTGCCTCACGTGCATTAGGAATGCAATGCATCAGGCGCCGCAGCATGCAGAACCACTCAGCTGGGGGATGGAATAATATCGCCGTTTTTAAAAACAGGACTCTGGCAGGTCTCCCAGGAGGGTTCTGACAGCCACCATCATTCATCTGCCTTTGCCACCTGAAACCGGTATTAACCATGAGGGAAAAAGTGTTCACTCAGACTTAAACTTACTTAGATATTGCTTGACACAGAAACTGAGAATAAACAAAACCTGACACTGAGCAAACACCTATTTTTGGAGAACCAAACAAATCCTAAATCTGACACCAAATGTGCACAACAAATGTTGCAAAAGATATTTATTCATTGTGAGTATTGTATCCAGACAGCTATTAAGAAATAGGACTCTGTTTAAGCACACAAAACCTGAAAAATAGAGGAGCTATACACAGCAGACAACTCCCATACGTTTAACAGGAGTTATCTGCTGAATAACATCACACAGGGTGAAATGGCAGGTCCAACATCAGAGCAGCTAAGAATTGTGGGGGGAGTAGCCTGTGGGAAGTCAGTGGGCTTCTAGAACACCTGCATGAACCTGTCATCTTCACTCTTCAGAGTATGACCAATACCTCCTGAGCTATGAAGTCTTTTACAGGCTCATCGTATCTTTCTCTATGGCCTCTGTATGGCAGAAGGTGTTCAAGAAATCTGTCTCAGTATTTTAAACCCTCTGAGATTTATACTTACTGGATTTTATTCTAGGACCTCTTGAGAAATAAACTGTTGAGAACAAGCATCCTATATCAGGAAAATTGTGCTATCTAACATTTTGAGACTCTGAACTAAATGGATTCTAAAAAACCTGAAACATAAACTTCACTTTCAGGAGCGGCCCAGAGGATTCCCTGGGGAATTTAGATCAATGTCTTTGTAGTATACTGTCCTGTTAATTTTAGTCTGTTAGAGCTAAAAATGCAAAGCAGAGTACTGCATATATTTAACATTTTGAGACTCTGAACTAAATGGATTCTAAAAAACCTGAAACATAAACTTCACTTTCAGGAGCGGCCCAGAGGATTCCCTGGGGAATTTAGATCAATGTCTTTGTAGTATACTGTCCTGTTAATTTTAGTCTGTTAGAGCTAAAAATGCAAAGCAGAGTTTTTGGGCTTTTTTAAACCATATTTTCTAATTCATGTACTTTTGGAACACTGGGAAGGAATTGTTCACAACAGATTTGTTGGGTTACTATAGCATTCTTTTTATTGTAACAAAAATAATTACACAATGGAATAAAAAGCCCCAAATTTAAAAATATGACTGAATGGACACTTAAAATACATGCCATTTTATTCCTAAAGAAATGTTTCAGGGTTTATTGTTCATGGAAATTGAGACTGTATTTGTTTTTATTTTAAGGAAAGCAGGAGGGAAGATAAAAGAAAATTTTCCTACAAAGTGTGACACAATGTGTTACCTCCCCAGGGTAAAGAGCATGAAAGGTTTTCTTCTTCAGACTGGGTGCATGCTCATCCACTTATTTATGCAGCCACTATACTGTACTTGAATGTAAATCACTTGCAAAATGCCATGGCCGATTTCTCAGTTGCCTATCTCCATAGTATGCATGTGCATTATGCATTATATGGTTAATAGTGCATCGGCTCCCTTGTGGAAAATCAAGACAGCTTCCATGTCCTCCTGAAAGAAAATGTGGAATTATTTTATCCACGTCCAGCCAGGTCAGGCTGCAGTATGTTCTCGGGAGAAATTCCAGCTGAATTAAGGCAGCGCCGTGCTGTATGCGCTGGACACGGAGGTACTCGAGCCAGCTCAAACGCAGGAGGTATTATGGCTATATCAGCATGGAGCTCTCTGTAGACCAATTAGTCCTGCTAAGAAGCAGGATGTAACAGTCCGAGCTAAATGCATTGAGGTACTTCACAAGTGAGATGATGCACATCTGCGTGGTTCCTGCCTTCCCCTTGGGCTGCCCTGAACCCTGCCAAGGAGATCTTCTGTCTGAAACCCAGGAACCTCTAACATTCACAGGCTGGAAAGCATAAGGGATTCTACTTTACCAAGCTCCCATGGAGAAGCTCAATGGTTTGCCCAAGACTGGACAGCAAGACAGGGGCAATTCTAGGGAAAGAGACCAGGCAGTGCTGGGAGCTTGTTTGCATTGCTCCAGTGCTATCTCAAGGCCCAGCCCCCAGAGCCAGTGGTTGCATTGCTGCACATGTAAATGTGGGGTCTGAGACCATGGGGATGCTTAAGCCAGCTTTTAGCTCACAGAGGGAATACATACGCTTCTTTTGGGGTGTGAGATATCATCCTTGAAGCGGGAGAAAATTACTAGAAAGAACCTGCAGCTTTGTCACTGGGTAGAATTAAATCAGCCAGGATGCAAAACTACAGAAAGAACTGCCAGCATTTTAGCCTACAAGACACACACAAAGTAAAGATGGTGAAGATGAAACTTAAAGAAGTGCTTTGCCCAGCATTGTACAAAGACAAATGGGAATGAAGGTGAAGAATAAGAATACCAGAGCTTACACCATGTTGCATTGTCCTCCAGATAGTCCTCTGGGAAGCAAGAGGGAAACAGATTCAGGGAACAGAAAAACAAAACAAAACAAAACAAAATAAACCACAGGTTATACCAAACAGGCAACCACAGAGAAGTTAATGAGTCTTTATAAGCAGTTGATTTTAAATGAGAAATCTTACATCATGCTCTACGGAAGCAGCTGAGCTCAGTGGTTAAAATTATTTTGTTTCTGTCAGTATTTATCTTATTGAACTTCAGATGTAATTGCTAGATGCCTGGCTTAAGATTGTTACTTTTTTGGCACTTTGTAGTAGAGTGATAGGGCATAGTTTCTGAGCTGTTTGAATGTATACTTTAGGATGAGATGAATCGTGCTTTACAAATATTTGATCTCAGTTCAGTTGCCTAAACCTATGTTTAGACAACTGAACAAAGACCTTTATTTCTCTCTGCTGGCAGCAAAAACTACAGTCATCTAGACTTCAAATCTAGATAGCTGGTTATAGGTATCTATATAACCTATAACCTATATCTATATGCCTGTATTGAATCAGAAAAGTCTTCATTTTTGCTTCTGTTAAAGTCAGCAGAGAAGCAGGATGGAATCCAGCTACCTAAATACAGGCATAGAAGGTGAATTCAGTAGCTCTGAGGTATTCCATCTTACTGTCAGCCAGGTCTCCTGTAACTTTGCTTTCACATTTGGACATCTTGAAGACCATAGGCTTCTCAAATAGCATTAGGTGACTATGTTTATGTAGCTGAATTCCACTCAGAGGGACCAGATAAAAGTTGGGGCTCAGTTCTGTTCTACCTCTTTGATGCCACATAACAGATATACTCTAGGGTTTTCTGTCCAGCCTTCAACTGCCAGTCCAGGAGGATTGTCCTATCTGTCAACTCAATTAGATGTCTTATATGCTCTGAGGCATCCCAGTGTTGCATATCTACATGTGGATACCTTGGTTGAGCCTTTCATCTCCCGGTCTGCGAGGCATGTGTGCCAGACAGGGTGAATCACTCTCCAAAGATGTGTCTCTCTCCATTGACTTCAGAAAGAGCCTGACTTTTAGGCCCTGTGCTGTGAAGATGTGATTAAATTGCCTGAGCATGGGTATCTTTAATTGCTTGAGGTGCTGCAGCATATTCTACCTGGCTCCCCACTGCTGCTCCAGGATTGTATTGGTCTCCTCTTGTCCTGTGCCGTATCTGCCAGTCCCATGTTTCAAATACACTGGGGTGTCTCAGATGGTGCTTTTCCTCTATGCTTAGACAACTCTCTCAAGCTCTGTGTAACTTCCCAAATACATCTGATGCATTTGAAACCATCTGTACCACTGCTTTTTTTTTCTTTTTTTCTTTTTTTCTTTTTTTCATGTTTCTCACAATTTACTTTGTTCTATTTCTTTGACTTATTTATTTATTTAGATCTATCTCTTACTGGTTACAGCTATGACAATAACACAGGGAAACTGCTCTCCTTCTTGGAATAGAATAGCTATTTTCATCACACAAGTTCAGGCAAGGAAGAAGGATCACTTCCTCAGAAAGGTTCAGTACTTGATGATTTCAGCGTAGGCTTCTTTTGAGGGCTTCTTTGTGCAACATGCCTGATAAAATATGCTCATCTGAATTAAGCTTATAAATATGAGCAGGTTATGAGGGATATGAGCAGGAGTAAAAAAATTGGTACAGATATGCTACATGTTTGTATAAGATTGAGATGTAGAGGAAATATTTTCTAAGCTTGGTTTCTTCTGAGGACATGCTGTCAAAGACAGATGAAAGCAAAATTGTTTGTCATTTCTTTTGAGGTTTACATAGCTGCATGTTTGGACTTTTCGATGACAGTTTAAAGTTAAGTGGTCTGACAGTGTTTTATGAATACAAACTCCAGAATAGACTTCTAAAAGCACTGATGTAAGACTGAACAGTCAGCTGACCCACAAGGAAAGATTTGTTTCTTATATCTATAATAATCAAAAGGGGCTTTAATTATTTGATGCTACTATCAAAATACTAATATTGCTGTATGTTTTATTAAGAAAGTAATAGAAAATGATGGGTGTGCAGACTGGCAAACTGCTGTGAGTGGGATTCTCCTTACACCCTGTTAGCGTTGCAAGGGTTAGGAGAATCTGACTGAAACTGCTCCTCCAGGCTCTGTCTGTAGTTAATGAAGAGAGATATGTGATTCAGGGAATGATTCAGCACATTAAACACTAAGGATCTAATATACGCAGGTTGAATGGTGTCCCTGTGAGGCAGGAGTGCAGCTATTATATCCTTCTGGATAAAATTACCCACGTTGGTGTAAGATGCAGGCAGTGACCTTTCCCAAGTGTTGCTAAGGGATTACAGCTCTGAAACAAGGCCTTCTGCTCTAATCCACGTAAATAGCCTTTCCTTGCTCCAGCTGAGGTCAGTGGACATCTCTAACTCAAGGGATTGTTGTTCTTAAACCAAAAGGAGATAACACGTGCATCACTGCCATTTGGAGATGGATTTGACACCAGCACTCATTGTTAACAGGCCATGAATAGTAATTATTTTTAATATCACCAGCAAGAAAAACAAATAGGTATTTGGCTTGAACACTTTTTAAAGTAACAGAAGCAATGCTAAGCTCTTTTTTCCTAAAATAATGCATGAACAAACCTAGCTAAATCATATGGAGATGAGTTATAAAGGATTATCTGCATTGACAAATTTCATTAGCTACAGCCTTTAAAGGCCAGCAGCATATGACACATCTCAGCTTTATTCAAGATGCTGCTTAGTATTTGGGGAGCTTGCAGTTTAGAAAAGATATTACTGTTTTTAAAAATATTCTCCTTATGTGAATATGGAATGTTTCTTAAACCTGTCTTTTTCGCTGCACAAATGCTTGAACTGTCTTTACAACATAAGAGTAATCGAAGCTGAACTGTGCTACCAGCCTTCCTTTTTATGTGCTTCCTCCTTTGCAGCCATTAGCTTTATCCGGAGCATGACAGAAACCTACAGGTTCTGGTGACCTTTCACTTTACCTTGACCAATGCTAGGTCAAGATCCAGACCTTTGCACTGAGCAATACACAAGGGCTGGTTCTTTCAATCTAAAGTGAAAGGCTGAAATTAAGAACCTGTCAAATATGACTTTAGCATTACCAGCCAGATTTTTAGTCTGAGATGCTACACGAATCTGCTGTAAATGGAGGTAAACATCTTCTCTTCTGCCTCTCCATTTAGGATAACCAGACTATGCTATTTCCAGAAGAGCAGAGAGCTAATAAATGTTGCTTTTTGTTGCAGGGTAATGCCATACCCTGACTAGAAATGCCATGGTAATTTTTTTAGTTGAATTGCAATGATTATTGACAGAATACAGTACATAGATAGAAAACAGCAGAGAGAGAGGCAATTGGAAAGACTTGACACTGTGGAAGACTGTGACTGATAAAGGAATTTGCTGGATGGTGGTGTCAGGGAGACACCCAGGTCCTTGTCTGAATTAGTATATTTGGGTTCCTGCTCAGTGATTTAAGCTGCATATCAGAGAAACCTCTAGACACTTTAGGGTCATAGTCAGAACCGTAGCAAGATGTTTTGGTGCTCTAGTGCAGCCAGCCCCTGCCTGGTACCCAGCGGGAGCGCCCCTCACCAAAACCTCATACCCCCAACTAATAGGGGGGGGACTGTTTCCAGTTGGGTGCTCCTCTTCTTCACTCTTGCTACAGCCCTGAGCACGGCTCCCTTCCACCAGCCAGACCAGTGCTGGGCAAGTGTTCAGCCATAAGCTCGGCAAGCAGAGGGTGGGAGATACAATCTGGTTTAATTCAGACTCTTTACAGCTCTTTAATTTTGCTCATTGGCTTTACCTCGAGATGATTGCTGAGACAATATTAGCAGCTATAATAATTAGCCCACTACAAATCTATGGATGTATAAATAGCAGGAACATCGAAGTCTGAAATGTGAATCCAATGACTGGTGGCGAAGAAAATAATCTTATGTTAAAGTCTTGTTTTCAAAATGATTGAATAAATAAAGGAAGATTAACGATCACTGAAGTTTTAGCTTATAAAAGTCAATTTTTGAGACGGATGGAAATAAAACAGTGGTAATTTTATAATTAAGTAAAGAAGTGGAACAAATCAATGTGCCTTTCCAAGTGTATACGTTCAAGAAATAGCTGCTAAAAACTGTTTTAATGCTTAAAGCCAGTTTTAATCAAATAAAAGAAAAGCATAAAATACTGCTGTAGATCACTTCTCTAAGAGAATTTATAATGCAGAGTACCTGTCATGGCTCATCTGTTTTTTTTCCTGCAGGAAAAAGTTTGTTCTCTTCTAACATTTCTAGTACATAAAAACCGAGTCATATTGTTCTCCTGCAATGCATTTTGGTACCATTTCTAATGGAGAAAAAAAAGATTTACAGAATGCTGAAACAGCTGGCATAGACACAATATAGAAGTATTATTAAATTATTAAAAAAAAAAAAGTCAGGAGATTATCACTCCTCTGTTATATTACCAAGCCATTTCTGCTAATGTGAAATTGGAATATATTTTGCCTTACCAGCCTATCCAAACTTGTGCCAGCAGCAGTTGTAGGTCGCTCCTCTGGGTTATATGGTCTAAACCGAGTATTGAAGTTTTCAGGGACAGAACGGGAAGATCTCAGAGCAGGTGCTGGTTTAGGTTGGCCACATCCTTGGAAAACCTGGAAAAGACATTGTAGGTTAATTGAAAATCATTTAAAAAGGGAAACTGGTATTTTATACCCTCTTTATTCTCCCCTTCATATATTTGAAACCAGCTTTGATTCACCTTCTGATAATAGTGAATTGAAAACTTGCCCTGCACAGTTAAATTCCGGTTAATAATTAAACATTATTAAATACTCGGTGAAGGTATAAAAACATATAGGGACCTTAAAACCACCTTAATTTAGGAAGGTGATTATTGTAAGAAGTTAACACTTGAAAGCATTTTAATTAATGTCTTTCCAGGAAAAGAAATGAGCAAAACAGAAGTCCTTTGTGGCAGGATTTAGTTGATAATAATTTTAGTTTTTGTTAAAATGTGGTATTTACCCAGAATCACAGTTCATTCATAAACCCTACCCACAGGTCTTCCTGCCTGGTAATTTTGTTTGTAGTCTCAGAGAAAAGGTCAATGATGAAACAGTTTTATAACTGGATTACTTTCTTATTCCCTACCAATCTCTCCCCAGAAGAAGGGTGAGGCATATAGAGTGGCAATAGTGAGAATTATTTTCTGCTGTTGTGTTTGTTTTCGAGGTATAAAAAATAATGTTCAGGGTTATTAAATTTTTCATATACTTGCATTTAGAAAAAAGTTTCAGTAGTATTTATCTTGAGGACACAAAAGGACACAGAGGACACTTTTGACTACTGGATATCAAGTATATATCCCAAAGGAACTCTCACATAAGTTACTCGGTTGAAAGCAGGTAGAATATTCACAGAGTTAAAATTTTCAAGTGCTCTGATGAAGTAGGATCCTAGTGTTTGCCATCGTACCAACTTTTTCAGGTCTGGAATCATCTTTCTTTTTTGTGGCCATTGTATTTTGGCTGTTTCAGCAATTTGCCTCCATTCAGAAGAAAAAAATAATAAATGCCAGAGTTTCTTTAAAAATATATTTTACAAAACCCTAATGCCAGACACAAATCTATCTGAATGGGGTTTGTGAAGGTGAAAACTCTTAAGCAGGTGCTGTGTTTTGTTTGTAGGACCAAATTATTCCTTTTTGTATGGCAGATAACAGCTATTTTGTGAGCCAGTAATAAAGAAGACTCATGTTTCACTTTTAGACTTCCAGATTTTCTGCCTTGAGTGGTTCTCTCTGAAGTAGCCGTGGGTGTTATGACTTTTGCTGCTTTCAAGATACATTAAAATTGGCTCTTATTTAGGTTTCTCGGTGTTAATTTAGAGGCCCCAGATGATTTAAAATTTGCTGAAAGAAACTGATTCTTACTAAATTTATGTTAAATCATCAGGTCTGTTTTGACTCAAAGTCCAGCAAGTCAGCTGTTGTAGACCCTGTTGGGATTTTTAATTTATGAGTGGAATGTTGCTTGGTCTGGTTTGAGAATATCCAGAAGATTTTTAAAATAGTTTCTAGCCTCCCTAGTCTTGAGGACAATAATCTAATTTAATCAAACAGAAAAGATGATTTTAGCTTGTAAAGTTCTAAATTTTTCAGCAGGAAAGAATTCAACTAAGATTAATGTTCAGGATTTATACATGATTGTGTATGATACTGTACAATTTAAACAGCCAAATATTTATGTTGGGGGCATCAGTTATACTTACAAAATTTTACTCATTTTCTTCTGACTGAACATAAACTATGTGCAGAAAACAAAACTTTTATTTAGATATCTATGAAATCCCATAAAGTCAATTAAGCAATTAGGTATTTTCTTATAAAAGAAAGTAACAATTATCCAAAACATGAAACTTGGCTCTCAAGGGAATGGAAAGTGAGGGCACTGAATGTTCTTAACTTTCACAGTGTGTGATTGTTAGGCTACTTGTATGACCATGTGGAGTAACTGAGACTACATAATTTATATTTCATTTTTCTTATGACATATTAAAAAAACCACCAACATAGACTTTGTGGCATTTAGCTTCATACAAATAGTTGTAGCAAGCAGTTTTGTATGAACAAATTTACATACAGCCAGAGGACAATAGAGATAGAAATTAGATAGTGATTTTTATATCACAGAAGAATAAATAATTTACTTTTTAGATTAACTGGCAGAAATGCAGTAAAGATAGAATATTCAGTAACTAAATTCTGAGTGCAAAAGAAACATTTTCTAACTTGCATCCAGGTATTAACTGACAGAACAGAAAGTGTAAAGCTGATACCTGATATTAACAAATGCTTTCAGAAATACTTTCTTTGCAATGTTGCTCAGAGATACTGAGCAATTTCTGGAAAAATATTCACGTTTTATTATACATGCTGTGAATTGGCAGCCTAAATCCACTCTCTTAAAGAAAATTACATTTTATATATAATTGGTGTAGTCCATCTCATCTGAATTTAGAGAAGGGATTCCATTTGAATTTAAGAAACTTAAATTTAGGTGTGTACACATAGGTATCTATATTTAAGCTGAACATTTAAGCTCCCATTTTAGACAGTGGAGATCAAAAGCTCCCTTCAGTTGCTCTCACATCAGCATAACAGTTTGTGTTGTCCTGAGGTATCCAAGGCATCTATTCAGACTGTCTTAACCATTCCTCATTGAAATGCAGCTAAAGCTCAAATGGGATATCCTAGGGTGTCACAAAGAGCACCAGACTTCTAAGGTCAGGGATATGAACGAAGCCATGAGGTCAAGTCAATGGAGCCAGTAAAAAATTACACCTATGGAGCTGACTAATGGAGGTATCTATTTCAGGACTAGGAAGTAGATACTGTAAAAAAAGAGTCCTTTTCCCAGGAGAGCTCAAGGTTTTAAATTCCAGCAGACAGAATTTGTTCTCCCTGAAGCCTTGAGTCATACTGTTATTTAGATATGTGCTAGTGCTCAGTGTTTGCTATTGAGTGTCTCTCTCTATATGACTCTGCTCCATTGACTCTCTCATCTTCAGATAGAATAGCATTGATTTTTTCCTGAAGCGCCATTACATTTTTCCTGCACAGGGGTCTGGAAAGAACACAGATAAATGAAGAGGTTTTGTTAATATGAAACCCAGGGGCTATTTTAAGAAGAACCTTGGATGTAGTTTTATGAAGATTTCCTCCTTACAAATAATGCATAGGTAGTCTGCTATGTCATGGAGCTCATTCATCTTTTTAGATTAAGTAATTGCTGAAAATGAACATATATCTATAGGTTAAAATGGCACATCCATCAGTTCAGACAAAAGTAGATTTAAGACTTATTAATGGAGGACCCAGTTATGGGATAGCCTTTATGAAAGTGGAAAAATCTTGGCATGGCAGCCAAATGACACTTAAAGCAGCCAAACATATCTGTATAGAATGAGACTGTTAAAAATGCAGAAAATAGTCCAGTATGTTGTGTTTTGAGTAGCAATGAAGACAAAAATATGCTGATACAACCAGATTAGGAATTGTTTCCATTTTGAAGAAAAATGGATGTCATAACATCTTTTCTGCTGTTTTTTGAGTTTTTTTCCACTTATTGTGCGAAAGCAATCTCTGCAGATGTCAACTAGTAAACATTCATATTGTTAAAATGGAACAGATGTAGGATTTACTCTTTGACTTGAAGCAGGAATCAAAGGTAATGGTACTGACAGCCTTATGGGAAGGTTGTGAAGGCCCCGAAACGTATTTGTTTTGGCCAGGGTTGAAATATATGTTACGACTCCCTGAATATGACTCCCTGAATTACCTCAGGGAGAACGAGAAGAAGGTAAATGTATGCTATGACTAAGTCATGTATATGAACTAAGCCATGAGAAACAATATACAGAATATGAAGCTTTTACCAGAGAAATAGTCAAGCTGTTGATGAACGCTGAGTTTAGCACTATAGTGTTCAAATACCAAAGAGTCATCATTGGCAAATAACAAAGAGATTTCAATAACGAAGATAACATGTCTCAGACATTATCAGGAGAAACCCAAGGTAAATCTAATCTATTGCAACCTGACTTCTACCAGAGGCAACCTTCAGGGAACACCACTGAAGTCTGGGTAGACCCAGATTGCAAAACCTACTCCTCAAAATCACTGATGTCTTGGCAGGCATCTCAAGCAGCCCAGACTGATTGTTTTTGCAGTCTGTGTGGTCCAGCTTGCAGAAGGTACACTGTCAGAAAGGCTGCAGATGGCGAAGCCATGGAAGCTGATTTTGATGATCTTCAGTCCTTACCTTTTTACAGAGAAGGGAAACTCAGGTCTGATTCAGAGCATGTAGATTCCTCTAGAAGAAAGGCTTTGGGGTCTGACTTTCTAGACCATTGCTCCTTTTTGAAAAGCATCTCCAGACAATGCAGCTGTCAGGAATGTGACTTTCCACGAGGCAAAATAAGGACGTTTTGTGGCTGTTGTTTCGCGACATGACACCCACACAAGGTGAGCAGCGTTTGAAGCTTCAAGATTTGTGGCCAAACTTTCTAGACAGCCAGTGCTGAATACAGACCGCTGAGAAATACCAAGAAAACAGGGAAAGATTCCAGCCTCACAATGAATTGGAGGATCTAAACATAATACTAGTACCTGGTTGATGTGAACTGTGCTGAAAGAATCAACCACAATCAGCACACAAACAAGAAAAGTTAATGGCCTAGGAACAGAAACGGTCCATTTTATGCAGTGACAGGTACTGGATTTGGCTGAGTCTGTATGTCCTTGGTCAGAAGTATAAAGATAGAAGAGGCACACACGGTACCTCTATAATTCTCTGTCTCGGTATTGATGTGCACTCATCAAGAGTGGAAGACAGAGGGTTTGTGTCTTCTAAGGAAATGAAAGACAAGATGTGAACTCAAGCAATAAGCCCTGACTGTCTGCACTGATTAATTGTTAACTCATTGGCTTTTTCTTGGACTGCTCTAACTTTCTCTTTGCAGAATGAAACGGCTCCAGAGAAGGTAGCAGTATAGAAATGAATCAGGCTGTGACACTTTGGCCTCAAGATCAGGCACTGCTCCTTGTTCCCCTTTTATTTATTAGTATAACTGTAACCATGAAGACTATTTCTCAGAAGAATAGTGCTGAATGGGAGGTGCATATTTATAGGAAAAAGATATTGGACAAAACCTTCAGTGCTACATCAAGTGAAGAATGGAGGGACAAACCATAAAAATAGACTTAAGAAGTTCATGATGTATTTTTTTGCTGATGTCTAAAACTGAAAACTTGATAATTCACATAAGAGCATGCATTCTTACTTATTTTTATACACTTATTATATTGGAAAGCATAGATTTTTGCTCACTTAATTTTGTCTCCATATGCACAGTAATGTACAGTCAGTGTGTTATATCAAACATACTTCAATTTGTCTCAAATAAATGTCAATATATAATTGCAGCTGGTATAATACCAAACATCGTTTTGTGATACAAAGACAAATTGATAATGCAATTTAATGAAAATGACTTTTGGAATAGGGCAATTTTATATAAATATTTGAAACAGGAGAGGGATGAATTTTGGATTAAATGAACTCTGAGTCTTCTGCCTGCAAAGAGGATGAGATTAGTGAGAGGTCCTTGAGGAAGAAACTGTTCATTTTCATTTGTTCCATTCCTTTTAAAAGTAAAACAACATTATACAAAATGATCCAAAATTCTACCGAATGCAGTAGAGACCCTCCTCTCAGACATGAGCCAAATTTTTTCGGTAGAAAAAGCTGTGTCAGTGGTGAAGAATAATCTACGCGTGTGTGGGTGTTGCAGGTCTAACATTATTAGTGCATCATCATTTTCCCTTTGTAAAAACGCACTGATTGACTCGTGGAAAAATAGCTGCGATTCCTAATCACCACATTTTCCATCGGTACAGTCAAATGCAAGATACAAAATTGTTTGAAGAAAGAGAAAATAGTGTGATTTCGGCACCCTGCCTGAAGCTTTCTGAGCGGTGTCTCAGAATAATTGACAAGCGTGGCTTTTCTCCTACATTAGGTCTGCAATTGCATTCCATGCACCCCATTACATCTGGCAAGGTATCTGTCATTTTCACTGAAGCTCTAAGTGGTCAGTATGTATAAGGGGGAAAAATTAGATGACAGATGACTGATTCGAAGTCTGCTCATATATCATTTCTACAGATCTGACATGGCACAGAAGAACAGAGCACTAAACCCAAAGTCTTTGCCGCCTTATACTTTTCTTTAAGAGTAAAGCCTTTCCACGTGTTAGGACCTGATAAAAGATGGATATAACCTAGAAAAACAAGGAAATCACGTTTCAGGAGAATAATGGTCTACTCAGAAATATGCAAAAGCTCCTCAAAGATAGATAGCTCTGTTATATATGAAAATATAATAAAATAAATTTAACTGATACCATTTGGTTTCTGTTTCTCAAGATTTTAAAAAATATTGACAAAGGTTTCTCTTGGAAGAAAACTTTACATTACAAATGGAATTGCTGTGATTTATTAATCTTTACAGCAAATAAAATATTTCTGAGGGACAGGAGAAACAGTGTGCTCTGCTACAAATGGGTAGTGAGATGAGCTTGTGCCACAGTGATGTCATTGGACTCTGGCAGGGGATGCAGCTTCCCGACTGATGGAAAACTGTGAGAACTGAGAAAATAAAAAGGAAAATGAAACAAGCCTGAGCCTTGGGTGAGTTTTCAGTGAAAATATTTTTGTTTCTTTTTTTGAGGTAAGGGCTGAGTTTGCTGAAGCTAGCCTTTAATTCCCAAAATATTTGAGAGAATTTGGCTGTTAAACTCCTTGATCGCTGCTGCCAGAACAAAGTCTCATCTCACAGGATGTAGACTGCTTTTAAAATCCAAGTAACTTCATGTAGGTTGAAACTAAAAAGCATCTTGAAGGAAATCCTTAGCAACCTGCAGCATTGGGACCATAAAAAGCATCTAATTTTGGGTTGGCAGGAAGAATGTTAACCTCAGCCTCCTGCCTTTTGTCCTCACATTTTTCCCAGTTGTGGCAGCTTCCTTCCAAGCAATGGTTTGGATGGTAGTCTAGCCAGCACCTAACCATCTACTGGGAGATCAACAGGAGGTAGAAACCCCTAATACAAGGAACCTGGCAAACTGTTGGTGTTAGATTTTGAGTCTCAGTGCACTGATGAATATTAAGGAAAAGCCATTAATCGTTGGCTCAACAGCACCTGCTACTGAATTCAAAGGATCTTATTAACACGGAGTTCAAAGGTGGTGGTGATCTGTGTATAAACACACACACCAAAAATGGAAAGGAGAAAGCTGGTATCATTAACTCTGTTTATCTTCATGTCAGAATCCAGACAAAGCTCTATCAAACTGAAGTCTAGTAATCAGAAACTGTCCAATGTAATGATATTTCCCTTGAGTGGCTATTAAAGGAGGTTAAAGGGAACATTTTGTGTATTCACCTCAAACTCTTTGTACTTCAGTCTGACCTAGACAGATCAAAATGTGTTTGACAGTTAATATGGAGAATCACGGATGAGACACAAGCAGAAGTTACCAAATGTGCTCTGCAGGGTATTTCTTACAGAGTTATGGCTAATTTTCAGCACTCTGTTTTCCTTACATTTCTTACAGCTATTAATTTGGAGTTTATGAAATGGCATCTTTCTCCCTGCCACTCGCTTTTGAAAACTTCTAGCTTGTTTCAGTGCATGAAGGATTCAAAGACAACCTGGTGAACTGTTGAACAAGCAAATGCAATTTCTAGTGGTCTGGACAATCTTTCTTGAAGTCTGGACAGAAAAATGGTGGAGATGTTTTTTCCCCTGCTTGTGACATTCAGCAAAAGAGAAGGCGCGACTCACACAGTACCTTTGCCGACACCTGCATGCTGTTTTCTTGCATGTTCATGATGGCTTCGGAAATCTTGACATCAATAGGGTCCATGACTGATTCAATGTTGAATGGTCCCTCTAATCTCTCCGCTACCAGAAGCATAGCATCTGTTAAAACAGAAAGCCATTCCCTTAAAGAAGGGATACTTTTGGGTGCCTCAGACAGTCCAGCGTCGCCACCCAGGAGAGTGGGTACCCAGCACTCCCAGACAGGACCCCACTGGGGACGTGTGGCAGCAGGACCGTGAAGCCCACAGTGCAGTTTCCCAGCTGTCAAGAATATTTTCCCTTACCACTGCCACCACAGAAAAAGGAATAAAGACTGTAAAAGCTGGATTAATAATAGTTGCCATAGCATTATCGAGCTTAGGGTAAAATTATTTTACACAGTGTCGCACCACTCGTAGCAGCCAGTGCTCTGGAGTGTACTTACGTAGTCTCCTTCCCGAGAAAAAAGCAGGATGATAGAAATGAATCCCTGGGGTATGTTCTTAGAGTTTGTGTGAAATGATGAAACTTTGATATGATATATCAGGGTGTTATAATTAAAGCAGCTGTTCTTTCTGACCTTAATGATCTCATTTTCTTGCAATATGAACAGCAGATGAATATTGGATTTCTGCCATAGAGTATAGGTATAAACTATGTTTGCCTTGCTGCATTTTCAAAACATGGTCGAAAGTTATATGCAGAAAAATATATATGTTTTGGATTTTAAAAACGATTGCTTGCTTAAATTACATTAGAGCCTCTCTCCAAAATAATTTCATCTTACTGTGTTCGTTAACAGGTAAAAACCAAAGAACTGAATAGAAATTAATAGCAGTAAAAAATCTTGTCATACAACACATTGTTTACACACAGACATAGATTCATCACAATTTCTGTATCAATAGTCAAGTGATAAACTGGATTTATACTATATCTTTGAACATCATATTTGATCCTGTCTCATATGTCAGCACTTAAAACTTTCACCATCTAATTAGCTTTGAACAGATGCTACTTTTAACACGATAAACAAAAATTGTCAATATTGTCACATGCTCTTTTCTTTATCCCTCAGACTTAGGCTCTGAAAGATATTAATCAGACTTGTACCCAAAACAGACCACACACATGGCTGTGATAGCTCTGCGCTTAGCTGGGGTGTCCCAGGACTTCTTTCCAGCCTGTGTGGCCATCTTCTCCTTCCATACAGAAGCATATGTGTGTGAATGTATGGAGGGAAGAGGCTGCTGTCTCACCGTAGCAGTTGAGACACAGACACCTGTACACAACCTGACCCGAGGGCTACAATATGTTGCATGCAGTCATCATGTACTTAAAAGTCCTGCTGAAACCGAAATTATTTGTCATGTAGTACCTAAGCGCTTTTGCAAATTCAGGTTTAATATTTCACAGTACTTTTAGGCTGGAAAGAGTGTAATGCCCCTTATTTGGAGTGGGGCGTATAGCACTTCTTGCAAACTGTGAGAAATGGTGAGATGATAGGAATTCAGTTTCAAACAGAGGTGTTATTTTGTTTCTACATGATTTTAAGATTCTTTAGTTTAAACCCCTTCCTGTGGGAAACTCAGTAGAAACAGCACCTAGCTCTGATAAAGGCAACATAACAGTTTTCATACACACACAGATACACACAAATACACATGCACACTCATACACCTAAAGAATCCTGCAATAAGTTAGCAATTTTTTCACATGCAAAGAGAACTTGTAAATGTGGTCTAGTATAAAGGATTTTCTTCCTCACATGTTTGGAATGACCTGTATAGCACATTTATGCCTTTGCACTTTGTGAGTAATATGCTCAGCTTAAATCCTAGCTGCCACAATGAGCACTAGTCATTGTTAGAACACAGGTCTTGGTGTCTGAATTTTGGTCATTTAGTTCAAGTTAGGGTTAAGATTAGGGTGAAACAGCCACAAGATTTTCTTTCTTTTTTTTTTTTTCTGGATAAAAGTAACCCCTGCCACTTAAGGACAAGGTGCCTCCTTGTATGAGCACACTTTAGTTTGGGAACTGGCAGGTTGGACAAGTCTGGTGCTAAGCTCAAGTACATGTTTGGGGCAATGGACTCTGTTGAAATGGAGTTTGGTAAATAGGTAATTGCTGGAGACCCTTCAGCTTGAGTCGACTTGCCATTTCTTCTGATGGCACGGGGCACTACTTCTGAATTAAATGTTGAAATGGGATCTATGTGTCAGAAGAGAGAAGCACATCATCCTTAACTGAGAAAGAACCACAGCTTCAATTTTAAGAACAGACTTTCCTCAAGCAAAGGACCTTCAACTTCAAAATTAAGTTATAGGATTTGCAGACTAAAGATCTGGTCCTGACTTAGACAGTTCATATCTTCAGGAAAAAACATCTTCTAGTTCATCAGCTTCTATTTACTGAACCTTAACCCTACCGATAGGCTTAGTCTTTCCTTAGTCTTTGCACTGGAAGTGGGCAGAGGTTGAGAAATGCGGGTAATTCCAGGCTGCCAAAAGTCTCTGTGAGCTTTTTTGCTATGTTGAGCTTCCTTGTTTTATATAGAATGGTATAGATCTGATGGTGAGTTCACGAGCTTGGGTTTAAGTCAAGGTTAGAGTCGTGTTTATGTTTCAATTGCATGAGCTACAGCTTTACGTTAAAAAAAATGAAAGAAAAGAGAAATAATACAGAACAAAATCAAGCAGTAGATCCCAATCATCCTTATTCTTTAATTGTCATCTCCTTCTCTGGCTTGGAATGACTCTGGACCACTCCAGGCACCTATTCACAATACAAATCTGTGGAGAAGCTAGCTTGAAGCAATAAGGCTGTGAACCAACATCATCACTTGGACCTTGAAGCCCCGCAATCTTTTGTTTAGTTAGCATTATAGGGGTATGACTAGGGTCCAATGGCTTAAGGGAAAAGTTTAACCTGAAATATCCACTTTTATTGATGACAGCTACATTTTCATATTAGCAGTCCATATTTTTGTTTTGGAACTAGAACGTGGGACAAGACTAATCTTAAACTAGAGGCCTATACAGGGACATATTTGAAGAGGCAGAGTCTGAGAAATGGATTAAATGCTGGGATGAGGGAGCCTTGAAGGGCTAAGGTAAAAACAGCTTCCTCCTGAAACATTATTTCTGAGTTAAGGCTCGTTTAGGGCTCAGCTCAGACTAGGAGTCTTGGGCAATTGCACAGTTCAGATGAACTCTCGGACAAACGCAAAACTAATGTTGTTTGAGGACACATTTTATCCTCTTCAGTTTCAGCAGGTGTGTGGGGCCACGGCTGATTTAGCAGTGACTGGACTGCTGGTTACTCCTGTCTCCTTCTGGTAGGAGTACTACAGGCTCAGTCAAGCAAAAGAGGATGAGCAAGTGCCGCTTCTGTGAACTCCAAAATTATTTTCTTAGCCTCTGCCTGACTGAACTCTTCATTCCACCTTTTCTCTAACCATCATGTTGTCCCTAATATTAAGTCAAACCTATCCAAATGATATCTGACAGCCCTGGACTGAGAGAAACCTTGGAGAGCAAGAGAGTCATATTATTGTGAGCCTGCAGGCCCCTTGGGAACATAATTACTAAGGTAGTTAACTTGATTCTGTTTACTGACTTTTTGAGTTAGCCTTCAGATTCAAATTCAGACTGAATTTACTACCCTTAACATTGATCTCTAGAATAAAACAACCCACAGTGTGTTGTCTTAAGGTGAATTCCTGCCTTGGAAACATTCCCTCTGCTCATTAGGTTACATCCTCTTGTTTGCCAACCCTAACCCTCATATCAGTGCTAAATCTTATTATTCACTTGCACAATTCTATATGAACACATACAATACATACACACCAGGTATCCTATGCGATTGAATGAAATAAAAGCTGTTAGGTTAAATATAGTGAAAATCGGATTAAATTTAATGCTCTGGGATTTATGAGAGGGCAGTCACAATGATGTAATGGCATTTCCCAGGCTGTAGCTCTTCAAATCTATAATCATGTAACAGCAAACACAACACTGTTGTCCCAAGCTTCCTTTTTTCTCCTAAAAACTTTATGAATATTATTACAAGAGAAGCTGGAAAGCTTTCAAAATGAAGTTAAGAAAATCCATATGCTTCAGTTTTGAAATCTTAATTCTCAAGAACAGACCCTTGAACTCAAAGAAAGCCTAATTCAGTTCAGTGGGACTTTGAGTGGGTTTAATACATTCTCAGTCAGCTGAAATAGTAGAAAATGGGGGCTTAATTATTGTTTGTGCTATAAAAAACTGAAAAATGATTGATTAATTGACAACCTGCTTTTTGTGTTGTTAGTACACTTGAACTGTATTGTTCCATTACATACGTTCTTTATTTTTACCTCTTTCGCATTTTTCAAAATCTGCTTTGCTTCGGCTAAGTATGTGTTTTCCATTTATGACAGCACTTGGCAAAAAGCTGGCATCTAGCTGCTGGGTGAGTGGATCAAGAACTCAGTTTAGGTAAGTCATTCTTGCGTTGCGGGTTTGTTAGTGACTCGGAAACAATAAACATGACTAATTGCTCACTTGAGGACATGGGCTTGCAAAACTTTTCCACTTATGACAGCACTTGGCAAAAAGCTGGCATCTAGCTGCTGGGTGAGTGGATCAAGAACTCAGTTTAGGTAAGTCATTCTTGCGTTGCGGGTTTGTTAGTGACTCGGAAACAATAAACATGACTAATTGCTCACTTGAGGACATGGGCTTGCAAAACAGTCCTGAGAAAATGCAGAACATATGGCACACTAGATTCACTGTCAGTGCCACTGCTCTTGACCTCTCCTGCTAGATGCGTGTTGCTCAAAACAGGAGGGAGGACCTTCCTGATGCAGTAAAAAACCCAAGTCTACTGGAGTCTCAGGGTGTAGTCCCAGGGGCTGCAAAACATCTCTGCTGGCTGAGCACACTAGCTCTGTTTAACTACTTCATAGCCCCTTGTCCATGCCAAGAAATACCACAGATATTTGACAGTGGCTCTTAGAAGGACATTGTTTCATTTTAAGCAATATATAAGAAATTGATCCTGCAGATCAATTGGTTTACTTCAAGGATTTTTATTTTTTTTAAGGTTTTATGAGAGCCATTTTAATGACGTA